TTTTTTACTTATTTTACAAACGTGCAGTGGCGATGAAAAAGATGATTCGAGTCTAGTTTATCTTTCATACTTTGGTTCATGTGGAATCATCTCCTCACCGAACACCCCCGATAATAAAATATTATAAGTTTTTCAGTTAATTAACTACTACCAAGATGCATTTAAATTTATTTTGCTCTGAATATAATAAAAATGTAGGGAAATCGTCGGTTATCTGTGTTAAGAATTTGTGTGTGGTTGGATGGTTCTTTTCTTCTAACTTAACATCAATCCACGATAATTTATTTGAAATTCACTCATTTGGCAAGCTCTGTTTTGGGTTCCTTCCTATCGTGATGCATTCTCATTCAGTATATTTGCTTCAGGTAATGAACATTGCTGAAGTTCTGCCACGCATCGCACACGGTCTGCCGGCCGTAGCCAGTGTATTCGCTGTGCGGTGTGAAATGGGTATTAACGGTGAGCGTATTGGAAAAGCTATCGATCGGTGTACGCTTGCGGCTCAGCTTGTTGGACCGGAGGGTCATCTTAAAGCGTGGCGGCTCTACGCACTTTTTCGCATTTTTGCTCTGGCATTGGGTTTTACGGGCGATTGCCCGATTAATGCCATCAAACCGTTTGTAGACAGGCCGTGGCAAGCCCTGCCAGGCAAGTTTTGGGCGTGGCATCTGCTCCGGCAACTCCATATCCTCCAAATTCTCCTCCACCCTACGTTCACTGTACTTTGTCTTTGGTGACTTGAACACGTGCGACTGCAGCAAGGACAGCGGCCGTTTCCTGTTGACAGTCTTCAGCCGATTGAAATCGTTGATCAGCATTATTTGCTTCTCCATGCCGCTGGGCCGACGGCGCTCGGGCTTGAACTGATCGACGGTAGTCCGCTGTTGACTGGGGTAGTTTACCGGACGCACCGGAAACTGAACTTCCGCTGCTGTCACTTGCTGCGAGTGGGTCTGGAAACGGCGCACGGAGCTGTCGTAGGGCAATGTTGGCTTGATGAAGCCGCGACGTTCACTCTTCTTGTAGCCCGATGAGCTCTCGTCGTCTTCCTCCGCTGTCTCGGCCTCAGCCTCAGCCTTTTCGGCATCCAAGCGTCTGCGCTCATCCGGACAGGTGCTCCAGGTGTGCCAGTACTTGGCCTCCTCCTCTTCAGCCTTCCGTGCCAGCCACTCCTTGCTAGCAGTGCTCATAGTGGTCGGCGAGCTTGGCTCAGAGCCTTCAGATTTGGGTAGGTTGTAGCCTTTGCGAGATTCGCGTAATTCCCGCTCTTGACGCTGCTTCTCCTTTAGTCGCTGCGCGCGACGACGTTTGCTATATTCCTCGGCACTCTGATCCTCGTTGCCTCCCCGTCGTTGGCGCTTCTGGCCGGGCCTCTCATCTCCGAATATCTGATTGACACGCTCGTATTGAAGTGCAGCTGGCGACTTGGGCTCAACACGATTCTGCCATCTGCGTTTGTTATCCTCGATGATGCGCTCCTGCCGACGCTGATGATCGCTCGTATCCTGGGTGATCATACGCCTAGACTCTGGATCCCTCATACCCGTTTGGCTGCTCTCAATCTGGTCAAAGCTATCCTCCTGCTGATCGTAGCTCTTGTGTGGCCGAGGATCGTAGCGTGTCTCGTCGCTGTACTTTTGGTTCATCTGTTTGATGGCATCGTCAGCACGCATTGCCGTCCAGTCTTGTGGCTCATCGGACCGAAAGTGGCGGATCTGATGATCACAGCCCAGAGAGCCGATGGAGCCCTGAATTTCCCTTGGTATTCGCGAGACCCCGAGCTGCCGAAACATTCGCATACAAAGCTTCAAGCCTTTTACCATATTCATTCTGATGCAGAACTTAAATTAGTTAACTGTACTGAATTTTGATATGTTTTTTAAAACTTCTTTTTGATTGGACTTCCAAAAAAAAGAGACCAAAATTTTGTGAACTGTATTTCCCCAAAGCTGAACTTATACTAACGACTGTATACATAAAAGCTGAAAGACTAACGTCTCCCATTACAAATCAAGCAAAGCAGACCTACTCAGGGCCTGCTAAATGAAATGACAGATTGTCTCAGTGCTCTCACGCCTGCTATAAAGTTTTCTTTTTATATAGTTTCTCTGTCTCAATATCTACAATTTCGCAAAATGAAGCAGCTGAATTACGTTTTATTCATATAAGGGTTTTTATTGGTGAATGATCCTATCGTATTGTATACAAGATCTATTGATCATTTTACTTTTTGTATAGTTTCTCTGCCTCAATGTCAACAATATATAAGTTTTAAGATAAGAGTTCTTACATGCGAATGCTCTTATGAAAGATCTATTGAACATACGTTGTGTGTAGCTTCAAATGAATTTCACAAAAGGTTCTGTCACTCATAGAAGCATCTCTTATATATGTATATATGATACAAAAATATTTCGGACTTTTTGAAGCCTATAAATATCTTCAATATCTCATTCTTTCTCCCTCTCTCTCTATCTCTCCCTTCCTCTTAGTTTATAACCGTTGATATATCCAGCAGCAAATTGGCGCCACCTACAAATCTAGAGCCCTATACCATGGCCGTCATTGCGGAGCATGGTAAGAGCAGTCGCCAAAACGTTAAAAGCGAAAGCAACGGCAAGATCGGCGTTACCAAATCGGACTCTGAATCCGCGCCGCATCCCATTCAGCGGCAGCTGAGCAATGCATTGACCATACCCGAGTTCTTTGCGCATAAGAACATTTTTGTGACCGGCGGCACAGGATTTCTGGGCACAGTGCTGATCGAGGCACTGCTGGACACACATCCCGACATCGGAACCATCTACGTGCTGGTGCGCGGCAAGCGCAATCAGGATCCCAACGAGCGCATTAATCGCTTGCTCCAGAAGCCGGTGAGTAGCTGGGGCTCTTGAGCCAAGCACAAGCTGAACCCCTTCGCCTCTTTGCCACGCCCCTGACGGCACTTTGACACCTGGCTGACCCATTTGCTGGCCCGGGCCCCATTATTTTGAGACAATTACCAGCCGTCTTTATTGCGCGTTAATTTGTCGAAGCTGAAGTGCCTTCCGCTCGGGCGCCTCGGTTTGACTCTTTAGCAACTCTTTGTAATGCCAACCATTTTATAACCGTACCTGCACCGCATACCTGTACACATACACATATGCCTCTTTCGGCCCACTCGCTTGCCTCTTTTCCATCATTATAATTTTAAACGCACTTTTAATAGCATAATAACAAATTGTGTTTCGGTTTTATTTCCATTTTTACTCGCTCTTAAGCATACTCCAAACATAAAGCCAAATAATAAATCCGAAAGTTCCCGTTTCTTTTTTATTTTATATAATTATCACAATATAAAACTACCAAAGAGAGGAAATGTAAAANATAATTTAATTATATTAGAATTTTTCAAATTCAGATAAATTTCATTACTAGAACTTGACGTATCCAATAAAAAATAATACTTTTATGAATTTTTCAACAAGGGTCTATATAGATTATAAACAATTAAAAATTTCTACTGCTTTCATTAGTCGCAAAATATAAAAAAAATATTTTTGTTCTATGTAAACATTCACAAGTATTTTGTATTTCATCTGAAAAGACTTTAATCCCTTATCTCTGCTCCTCATTATACCCTGAACCCATTTTCAATGGGAGATCAGGGTATAATGGTTTTGTTGAAATGTATGTAACAGGGAGAGGCGTGGCAGACCCCACAAAGTATATATATTCTTGAACGCGTCGATTTCAGAAGATATAAGAGCTAGAGATGACCGAGTTTATCATTAAAAGTCGATAACTCATCCCAATCTTTTTTATCGATAAAAACCCTTATCGAAAACCAGTTATAATATTATATCTTCTACACCTTTATTGCTAGAGTCTTGTGCTTTGGCAATTACATGCATATTCATGTTATAATCATAATCTGAAAGTTTCATGAAGATCGTACGTCCATAAAAAAGTTAATAAACAATTAAGTTCTCAATTAAGTTCTCAATTAAGTTCAATTAAGTGCTTGTGTGTGTGTATGTGTGTGTGTGCGTGTTTCTTGTGTAAGCTAAAAGACGCGAAAAATTATTGAAATATCTATTGCTCGAAGGGTTCAGGCGATCTCGTAGTCGAACAGCCTCGACTAGAGCTTTCTTATTTGTGTTTAATATAATATTTATTAAGGATTTGCAATTTTACCTTTTCCCCACAGATCTTCCAGAAGTACAATGAGAAGACCTTGGCCAAGGTGGTGCCAGTGGTTGGCGAACTAACTGAGCCGAACTTTGGCTTTCCCAGCGAGCTGCTGCAGGAGCTGATCGAGCGAGTCAATGTGATCTATCACAGTGCCGCGACAATCAGATTCAACTCGCACCTGCGCACGGCGATCTTCACGAATCTGACGGGCACCATGCGTACCATTGAGTTGGCCAAGCAGTTGAAGCAGCTGTCCGCCTACATTTACTGCTCGACCGCCTTCTGCAACAGCAACAATCGTGGCCTGATCACCGAGGACGTGTACAAGTCACAGTTTGACCCGTACGAAATGATGAAGATGGCCGAGAACGAGGAGGCCTGGGTGGACTTCACGCAGCAAAAGTGCAAAAGCTACCTCAAGGATCATCCCAACACGTACACGTTCACCAAGAATCTGTCCGAGAATCTGCTCATGGCAGAGATGGCCGGTCTGCCGGCAGCCATAGTTAGGCCATCCATAGGTGAGTCGAAGTGTAAATCTAATTGAGAAGGCACTAACTGACTGCTATTACAGTATACGGTACACTGGAGCACCCCATGAAGGGCTGGGTGGGCAATGCCAACTCGGGTCACCTGGGCTTCCTGGCCGGCTTTGTCAAGGGTATCTTTCGCACCATGTGCGGCAGCGCGAGTGCCATCATCGACATCATACCGTGCGACTATGTGATCAACAGCTCCCTGGTCATGGGCTGGTATGTGGGCACACGCAATATTAAGGAGCCGGAGATAATACACTGCACGTCGGGCGAGGTGAACCCGCTTAACCTGTCGCAATTCTGCGATATAATCAACGATAGCGTCGAACGTCATCCGCCCAACAGTTTTGTCTGGAAGCCATCCACGAAGCTGCGCAATGGCTGGCGCTATAATCTCTTCTTCTATCTGTTCCATCTGCTGCCCGCGATGATTTTCTACATACCGGAGAAGCTCTTTGGCATTGGCATGCCGCAGCACACGTGAGTCCAAGCTTTTCTCTAGAGTGACCCGATCTATATTCTCACCCGATCTCAAATTTCAGCGCCTACGAATATATGCGCGTCTTCCAGAATGGCACCAAGGCTTTCGATTACTTTCTGGACAAGGATTTCCGGTACTCCATGAAGAATGCACTGCGCATCTCCGCACTCATTCACGAAAGCGATCGCAAACGTTACAACTTTGATGCCAGCCGCTGCGATTGGTCAGAGTTCATCGATCGTTGTCTGATCGGCATCAGGCGTTTCTACTTCAAGGAGTCGGCGGTCACTACGCAATGGCATCGCAACTACTGGAAGGTGTAAGTAATCTAATTGTTCACCTCAGCATTGAGAAAACTAGTTCGTGAACGATCAATCAACTGAGTTAAAGACCGATATTACTGATCACAAATTCAGTTGCTCATGATCAACAGCTTAATATTACTCATATAGCTAATGAGCAGTTGGGCGATTCAAGAACGAATCTAATGATCGATCACTGGTCGTTGAATAAGTTTTATAGTTCTATTTCCACAAATCTTTAATTTTCTTTTGTTTTCAGCTTCAACTTCCTGTACTATGCCGGCTTCGTAGCGATCTTTGCTATACTCTACTTTGTGCTTACCCCCTTCCTGGGCTTCTCCGTTGGCTTTACTGTGGCGCTCCTCGTATGGGCATTCCTCGTCTGGTTGTAAGGTGATCGTTAATGGGATCGGTGGATCATACATATTGTGCAATATTTTATCACCTATACACTCTCACACATACACACMCWCACGTTCAGCTCAGTCGTTCCCATCGTTYTTCATAGGGTATCATCATGTAATTATACTTTAAAGTCTCACACTTGAGTACAAGTCAGCTATATAGTAAAATCGAATAAAAATATATATCTGTCAATACCAATACCAATACAAATACATATAGAACTCTAAAACAACGAAAACAAGCCCAAAACYTAGCTCAAATGGTAGTCACTTTATAACAAATAGTCCTGGTATATAGTCAAATAGTCAAATGTTTGTGCACTTGTAAATTACGAAAGCTAAACGTAAACAATTAAAATATTAACTATGTAAACTATTAATGAAATAAATATGACAATTTAAGTGTTAAGCCAAGCTAAAACGAGTTTTTCTTCTTAATTAAAGTTTTATTACATTGTTAAAAAGAAAAACATAAAAAGTCAATATGTGGAGTGTTAAGTATGATATCTTTAAATAAACACATTTTTCACAACTCTCTTGTTTACGGTTCCTTTTGAGTGCGAAGTTCTAATGGAAAGCACATACTACTATTTCCATGAATATATATATAAAAACGACTTTGTTTCAATGGAGACCTAATACTATTATTTTCGTAAATCTAAAGTTCATGTAGCATATTTGCCAACTAATAATTACTTAAACTATAGGTTGTAAATCAATAAAAATAAAACGAGAATAGTAATGGATTTTTAAAAATTAAAATACACTCAATTTGGGTATGCTAAAAAAATGCAAGTCAAGTCGGAAAGAACACGTCTATATCGGCTGAGCACGGGGCCCTGATCAAGAATATATATACATACTTTATGCRGTATCCAATTTCAGCTATTTCCATCGAAATGTATTTAAAATAAAAACAATTTGTGGATTGGCAAATACATACATACATATGTATGTATGAATGTCATTATTACATTCTGAAAGTGCGATTACGAAATGAGTTCACAGCCCAAGCGCAGTCGCTGCKCCAACTRCGCAGTTAGCAGACCGAGTGCTTACGCGTGCGCATGCATGTGTGTATTTCTGTTAAGACTCCGATTTCATTGAAACAGATACTAATGCACAATAGCATTTGCAATATAAGCCACAAAATATACTTTAAAATTGTAGAGCGCAACTGATTTATAGAAATCCCCTTAAAGTTTGCTACAGTTAGTTCGTATAATTTAGAGCGAAATTATTTCAATTTTAAAATAAACTGCATGGAAAAGGGGTTTTTATACAAATATTTTCCCCGTATGTACATATGTTAAACTATAAAGGATCAATTTATATATTTTAAAAATATAATTATATTTAAGTAGAAAAGGACAATGTGTCCTGTACTATTAAATCTTAAAAATGTTGAACACAACACTTTTGTATGCAGTAAATCGATTAAAAATAAAGTGTCCCATAAAAAACTGCATGGAAAATAGTTTAATCATTAAGTTTAATAATTAAAGCTAATAAATAAATAAATACAATTATATTTTTTAAATATTTTAAAATTCCTTGAAAATATGTTAAATATGTTCCTTGAGTTACAATNAATGAGTTCACAGCCCAAGCGCAGTCGCTGCGCCAACTACGCAGTTAGCAGACCGAGTGCTTACGCGTGCGCATGCATGTGTGTATTTCTGTTAAGACTCCGATTTCATTGAAACAGATACTAATGCACAATAGCATTTGCAATATAAGCCACAAAATATACTTTAAAATTGTAGAGCGCAACTGATTTATAGAAATCCCCTTAAAGTTTGCTACAGTTAGTTCGTATAATTTAGAGCGAAATTATTTCAATTTTAAAATAAACTGCATGGAAAAGGGGTTTTTATACAAATATTTTCCCCGTATGTACATATGTTAAACTATAAAGGATCAATTTATATATTTTAAAAATATAATTATATTTAAGTAGAAAAGGACAATGTGTCCTGTACTATTAAATCTTAAAAATGTTGAACACAACACTTTTGTATGCAGTAAATCGATTAAAAATAAAGTGTCCCATAAAAAACTGCATGGAAAATAGTTTAATCATTAAGTTTAATAATTAAAGCTAATAAATAAATAAATACAATTATATTTTTTAAATATTTTAAAATTCCTTGAAAATATGTTAAATATGTTCCTTGAGTTACAATTAATAGAAATAAAACCCTTTTGCGCAACGCCACTGGATAACTGGTTTCTCGCTGTTCATTATGGTGATGACGCTGTTCATCATCAATGATGCATTGAGACACGATCATTGAGACACGATCTACGAGAGCCGACGAAACAGTTTCCCTTCGGCCGGCAAACGCGCAAGTTGTGCTCCACGCAGAGTTTCGGACGAACGCACCGAAATTTCATACATACACACACATACGCATACCGCATACAGAGAGCAACGTAACTGTTCACAGACACAGGCATTCATTCATATGTATGAATATCTGTGAGTGTGTGCGCGTGAATATTGTTTACTGCCGCAGCAACAGCGCTTAAACAAACAACAAAGTGAAGAGGAAGAAGCAACGAAAGAAAAAAAGAAGCTCAGTTTAGCGAAATAAAAGAGAAATTTTCGGCTCTTCGGCGTTAGATCCAACCAGATCTATATAGCGATCACTATATACATCTATTGAGCTGAATATCAATTCGTGCATTTTATCAACAGCTGTGACCCGTTACAATGGCCAGGTAAGCGAACATTTTTGGACATAGACTGCCGAAAAGGCCATCTAACAAATAAGTCGGGCTAGTTTGACTGCTTTCGTATCTATGGCTGTGTATGTATATATAAATGTGAATGTGTGTGAATTAATTATTTGAATTTAAGCATTCGGTGCAAAGTTTAGAGCCATTTGCCAAAACTGCAATAAATTTCCATTTTTAAAGTTGTAAAACTATAAATAAATCCACAGTAGATGCAATGCCTATGCACTGGGCGCGCATTCTGTTTCAGAGTTTTTCTCTTCACGCACACGCACACATGGACATCATATGGGATCTCATGTCAGAGATCCGACACTTGGCTGTCGATCAATATTTACCTTCGCTTTGTGCCATGTAAAAATCTCTTCCAGAAATTCGTAGTCATTTTTACGGATTCCGGTTTTTTTTTTTTTTTTTT